AAAGCTCCAGTATAAGCATGCCATCACTGCCAAGTCACCTCAAAGATAAATGCACCCAGAGCTCACAAATACTTCGGACTGGAATTTACAGAGCTGAATTGCAGCCTGAAAAAGAAAGGCTGATTTGCTGATGGTTGATGTAAAGGAGAAAATACCTCATATACATTTTTTGAGACAGGGTCTATATAGCGCTGAATGGCCTGGAACACTCCAGGATGGCCGCAAACTCACAGATCAGTCTGCCTCTGCCTTCCCATATTAAGGATTAAAGGTGTGCACCACCACACCTGGTTTTATTTCTTTTATTTTTGAGATCATTGAAAGGACCAAGCAGACACCATAACAGACTGCTCAGTCTTCTCTCACAGATAAGGCCTCAATTTCGGTTTCCTGAGACTAAGCAAGCAGTTTCTGGGAAGGCCATGAACAAATGAAAATTAACCACAGATGTCCCTGCCAGCAGGGCCAGGGAGAAAGGATGGACCCAGCCTGGGCCACTGAGTCAGTTCCCACAGTCAGTACATGGTAGGCCAGCCAGCCTCCATGGTAACTCAAGGACAAGTCCAGGCCTACCCCAAAATGGAAAACTGTAACTCCCACCTGACCCTAGCCAATTAAAAGTTACTAACATTAGCCTGGCGGTGGTGGCGCACGCCTTTAATCCCAGCACTTGGGAGGCAGAGGCAGACAGATCTCTGTGAGTTCGAGACCAGCCTAGTTTACAAAGCCAGATCCAGGAAAGGCACCAAAGCTACACAGAGAAACCCTGTCTCAAAAGAAAAAAAAAAGTTACTAACATGATTGCCACTCTCATAAACTAATCCTGAGGCTGTTCTTATGTAGTCTCTAGACCCCAAACCACCCACGCTTGCTTTACCCTCTGTAAAAACCCTGCCCCGTTGCTACTCTGGGTCTCTCTTGCTCTGCTGCTACATCAGACGGACTTAGAGGCTCAGGTTAACTTGAAACAGTAAAAAGACTCAGCGTTTGCATTGGATTTGGTCTCTTGATGGTCTTTGGGGGACTCTGGGTAAAACAATTATAATTACATTATTTTACCCCTTCCCTTTCTTCTCTCCAAAGCCTCTCATGTACCCCTCCTTGATCTTTCAAATTCATAGCTTTTTTTTTCATTAGCTGTCTTTACATGAATATATATATATATATATATATATATATATATTCCTAAAAAAACACTCAGTCTGTTTTCTTCTACCTCCTAAACCCTAAAATGTGAAATTATCAAATCAAAAGCAAACGATACTCCCCTTTGAAGAGTAGTTAGGTTGCTTTCTTCTAGTCAGACTCACAAGTGTTTTCTACTGTAAAACTGATCTAATTCCTGTTCAGCAGCTGGCAGTGTGAAACTAATAAAATTAGCTCCAAAGTATGTTCCAGATTCAACCGTTTTCTGAAACTTCTCCCATTTGAACTCTGGTCCAAAACATGATGCCTCTCTCCTAGTTTAAGGCAATGAAGTCCTTGTGAGATGCAGGCTGCTGAGGAGCAGTGTGAAGAGGAAGTGACTGAGGAAGAAAACGCTTTGCCAGCTCTCTGTTGAGTGATCAACAGAAGGATAGCACTGTTCTGAA